TTTTAAATTAGAATAATGAAAATACGCTACGCACAAAAATACATTTTAGGATAAAAAATGAGTTGATTTTTATGTTTTAAAAACTTCTTGAATTCATTTAATAAACATCGTATCCTCGTTGTTAATTGAATCCAGAATGTTGGGTGTCGTTTATATAATTATTCTTACTTGTCCACAGAATCTGCTGACTTATCCAGCGATTAAGTAGCTGCAGATCATTTCTACATAACCATTGAACTTCCATTAATTCAGTCTCTAGAGGGTTGTATGTTTATATCATAATTTGACTTTTATAAAAATGATTATTCTAAATCTTATGTTTCTATAAAAATATACTGTGCTTTAAAAATATGGATGATAGTACCAGCCGCTCTTTCAGCCACTTCAAAAGCATCAGTTTGTTTAGAAATAAATTGTGCAGTTAATGTCATAAAATTCAAATAAACATCAAACGAAAATTCTCAGTTTTAGACAATTCGATTTAATCGAAGTAAAGTAGCAGACGATAAAACGCCGAAGGTAAAAATTTACTCATACAAAAATTTACTCTTATTTAGAAAAAAAAAAAAAAAAAAAAAAAAAAAAAAAAAGAGAGAGAGAAATTTAAAAAATAGCTTTTCCTATAGTATTAATAAATATTTATTACGCATCACTGAGGGAAAAAATGTCATATAATTAATTCTCCGTAAAATTTTACTTGAAATTTAAGGTTAAAAATAGCTGTGGCAATACAGTGTAACAAAAATCCATAGACCACATTTGGCGTTATTATCGCTCAAAAAAAAAAAAAAGATGCCAAATTTCAAAACGCGAAAATATGTAAATTTGTGTATATCTTAGAAAATTTTGAATAAAAAAGTCTAATTTTTTGCAGATATGCTTAAAAATATACCTACTTTAAGATGATGGCAAAAATTTTATAGGTTATAATTCAAAATTTTTTTCGAAAAATTTATAAAAATTATTTAAAAATAGAAATTTAAAAATAAAACACAAAAAATGGGTAAATTTTATTTGGAATGAACCTAAATTTCGAAATGTGAGAGAAAAAATAAAAAAATTTAATAAAAAAAGAGATATAATAAATATTTGCCAAATTCAATTAACATTGAGGAACTAAATTTTTGAGAGCTAATATTTCAAAAACTACTCGTACGATTTTTACAAAACTTGGTATTCTGGCATAATTTGAGTCGTAGAATCGAAATATGTAAAAAAATTGGTATGTTATTTCAGAAAAAGTCCGATTTTGTGTCAAAATACCTATGTTAGAATAGTGCTATATATAAATCTAATATATATCCTAAGTCGCGCTTTCGAGACATGAAGAACGCAATTTGAATTTCGTGAATCGCCCCAGTAGAACGGGAGATATAGCACTGTCCCATTTTTTTTTTTGAGCAGTGTACATACATTTTTAGTACTGCTGATGGCAATTAAGAAAAAGTGCAAAACTAGATATTACTACAGACGCACATACAAAACGGCAAATCGTTTTTGAGTTATGTGAGATACATATACACTGACTACCAATAAGTATTTGGACACCTATGCAAATGACGACATTTGCGGTCCTAAGGTACGTCACGGACTCCGTCGGTATATATCGTGTAGAAAACAGCATCGGCTTTAGTCGCATGCAAGATGCCTCCCAGTTTGGAGCTCTCTGATTTTTAAAAAGGTATAATTATCGAGTATCACAAATGTGGGCGATCTCTAAGGGACATATCTAGCGATCTGAAGTGCCCAAAATCGACAGTGGCCTATGTGATTAAAAGGTGGAAGGTGAGAGGTGATTGTCGGAATGTGCACCGAGTCGGCAGACCAACGAAACTGGGAGATAGAGACCGACGAGTGCTGTCCAGAGAAATTCGGAAGAACCGCACCCAACCGATGGCCCTCATGCGCGAGGAGTTTCAACAGGCATCCGGGAGTATTGTTTCAAAGAATACCATCCGTAAGGAAGCACATCTGCTTGGTTTTCATGGGCGTGCTGCTGCCCATAAGCCTTTGATCACAAAGTCCAACCGCGCTGCTCGGTTAATGTGGTGCAAAGCGCATCGAAATTGGACCGTAGATCAGTGGAAACGGGTTCTTTGGAGTGACGAATCAAGGTTCACCCTTTACCGTTCGGATGGCAGGGTCTGGGTCTGGCGTCTACCTGGAGAACGTCTCCTGCCAGAATGCATTGTGCCAACAGTCAAGTTCGGCGGAGATGGAATTATGGTCTGGGGGTGTTTCTCCTGGTATGGGCTGGGACCCTTGGTCCCCATTCATGGTAAGCTCAACTCCGATGCCTACTGCACTGTGTTGGATGACAATGTGCTTCCTACGTTGTGGCAGTTTTACGGGTTGGACCCCTGTTACTTTCAGGACGACAATGCCAGTTGTCATGTTTCGACGTTAACCAAGGCTTGGTATGGTGCCAATGGAGTTCATCGAATGGACTGGCCTGCCCATAGTCCAGACCTGAACCCTATCGAGAACCTCTGGGACGAGTTGCATCGCCGAATTTAGGGGTGCACTACCCGTGCAAAATCGGTGAAGGAACTTCTATGTCTTCTCCAAGCCGAGGGGAAGAAAATACGACTAGCTGTCATACAAAGACTTGTGGAAAGTATGCCCCGGAAGGTCCACGCTGTAATTACCTCTCGTGGAGGCTGTACCAACTATTGATTTTGAATACAGTTAGTTTTTCTCTTCTATCACATGTGTTCAAATACTTATTGGTATTCAGTGTATACTTCTATACGTATAGACATCAGGAAAATATCTCATGTGGACACTACATGATTTCCTCCTTATACGGCCTATTAAATTAGACACTTTTTTTTTTTGGCTGCATTTTATTTAAACTAATTCTTTCGAATTTCAATAGAGATATATTTCTCATTCGATCAATTCAGTTTTCACTTTGCGGCAAGGCGAAAATGCATAAAAATTCAAAGCATCTCCATTAAAAATTATAAAATACAAAAAAAGATAAAACTCGAAATACAGTTAAAAACAATTCAAAAATTATCAATCAAAATTAGAGTTAAACAAGCAATATGGCTAGCCGTCAGTAAGACTGGTTTTCCAGTTTACAAAATTGAAAGTTTACTTTTGGTCGCACTCGGCTAAAAGACACTGAAGTTGGACTCACTATTCTACTAAGAGTTTCAAATGTAAACAAACGGTGGCCTCGTTAGTCTTAGAGCCAGTTTAAACTTTTAAATTGTTGATAATTCCACAACTATTGTATACAAAATAACTAAAGGAATAAAAACCTTAACTGGAACGTAAGAACAACATAATTTAATCACTTTTAAAGCAAAAAATGCACAATTTACTGACATATAAAAATAAATTAACAGAGCTCATCAAGCCGGGTAACAGAGTGCATATATATATATAAATTCAAGAAGTATTTTTAAATATATTATAATAAAATATTATTTATAATAAAAGATTTTTCTTAGCAGATTTTTTAAACAAGGAGATTGAAATTACTATTTAAAATATTAATTTAAATTCTAGTAAAATTTTGTTTTCATTCATGGTTTTAAACTGAATTTGTGTTTCTTGGAGATGGTATATGGAAATTTTCTTATTATATATATATATAATAATAATAATATATATATATAATAATTAATTAGTCAAGAATACACTTAAAATTCTAACTGTATGTTCTTTTCATTTCCTTGTGACGTACCAGCTTTTGTCCGGAATAAATAGATTGGTGAAGAATCATAAATGTAGTCGTAGCTTAAATTATCAAACGATAAGTTTATAAACAGGATCTATTTATTATTATTCAGGAGAAATAGCAATTACAAAAATCTTATCTCCGGAGTAAATAAAAAAGAATTACTAATAACTTTTTGTATGAAGTTTACTGCATCGTGACATTACCCGATATTCTTTTGCGACTCCTTTTACTGCCTCTGGAAAGGCGGAGCTTCCAAGAAATGATGTCAGCCTTGTCAGCCAATCCAGTTCGCTTTAAATATTTCCAGAACATTCTATAACTGTACGTGTAGAAAAGGCGGGAAAAACAACTTGACTACGGGGCTGTGGATTTAATTCCACGTACTTTCAAATAAGAGAACGTAGCCATTAAAATGAAAAGAACATACAGTTAGAATTTTAAGTGTATTCTTGATTATGGAATTTTATTATTACATATATATAATTTTGATGCGACCGATTGCAAACCAAAAGGTACCCTGCAGAGACATTAGGATTTTTTGGAAGCCGGAGAGATGAAAAATTAGCAACCGCCTTCGCCGGGAATCGAACCACGGGTCTCTGGAATACCGCCCCAGCGTGCAGAACCACTACACCACGAAGGCACGCTAGGAAAGCAGAAGATATACCTTATATACTCCCTTTTTTTAAAGGGCGACTGGGGATTTTAGGGGACCCAATCGCCAAATCCTGGGTGTGGAGAGTTATCATCCATCACCCTTTTAGTTCGGGCGCCACTGTAGAGACATTAGGTACATTTCTGTAACCAGGAAAGATGAAAAATAGCAAACGCCTACGCCGGGAGTCGAACCACGGGCCTCTGGAATACCGGCCCAGCGTGCAGAACCAGTACATCACGAAGGCACGCTAGGAAAGCGGGCGATATACTTTATAACCCAACTACCTGCAGCAGCAGTTCCATGCACAAAATTTCAAAGTTCTAAAGCAACTTGTTTTTGAGTTATGCGAAATACATACATACGTACGTACAGACGGGTCACGAAAGTCATAAAAAACACTTCTGTATCCATTTTTAATCCATTTTAGAATGCATTTTGGCATAAAGAGTCCTTTGTTCTGTCCGCGTATACAGATGTCACGCAAAAACACCATTCAAAGGGGTCAAATGGATATTTTTGTTGAAATATAGCACCTGCAATTTTTCGCGACTACAATACTTTCTTTACTTCGTACAAGAAAGTAAAAAGGAAAGGAAATGCTTGAAGAAATGTAATATTTAAATATGAGCAAACAGTGTATTCACTAACCTGCATAAGGTTGCAGAGCAGCCAAGCGTTTTTCGGAGAACAAAATGGAACGAACTGTTTCAAGCCGAAACCTTTAAAATCCCAGATTCCTATATATCCATTTATTTGCGTGACTGGATTGTCGAGAACGTACTCGCTTACCAAGTTTCCAGCTGCCACGAAATCATGGTAGGGTACCTCGTCAGGGTTCCATTCACCTGTGAAATACAACAAAAATTTTTAAAAGTTCTTCCATTGCAGATTCCCAATCTTAATAATTTTACAAAGAATCGCATAATTATACAATCAAAAGTCGTTAATCCGGACTCGTCGGGACTTCGGCGACTCCGGATTATCGATTTTTCCGGATTATAGATCATCAGTTTAAATCTCGTAAGATGGCATGCAGAAATTCTAAAATTAAAAATATGAAACCGTAATTTATGAAATAAAGAACAATTATGATCTAAAGGGTATCAAAATTTGCAAAAAGAAAAAGCATAATATTTATTTGTTTACTTTATTAAACATTTCTTTCAATGTAAGTTGTTTAAGTTTTGCTTCGTTTCATGTGATAATACTTTCTCTTTAATTCTATTAAACAGATATAATTTCTTGTTCAGTTACAAAGTTCCGCTGTTCAAGTCCTGTAATTGCTGTGTCGAGAATACCGACTAATTTGTCAATCGAAATTTTTTCGTTTTCAATAACCTCTGTCACTTTCTTCGCTATCGGAAGCGAATTATAATGACGAGGAACTTGTTTTAAATCATATCAAAGACGGAGCACATCGAGATGAAATATTACATTTGATAAGGAATTATAAGCCAAATAAAATAAAAACATCTGCCCTGAAGATAAGGATAGTGCTGACAGATCAACTTCCAATTCATTACGCGCCCGCCGCGGCGTTTCCCCCGCCGAGCAGTGTGAAATTGATAAACAGATTTCGGATTTCAAAACATACTTTCGCTTTAGATCCTTTACATATTAACAAATATATATCGGAAATTCTATTTGATATAATCGAAAGTTTAAGCTTACTTTTATAAAATTGCTCTTACAGTCTGCAAAAAATATAAAGCCGGATCCAATTCGAAAATTAAGGAACAACGCAATCATCAACATTAACTGAAATAGGTAATTATTTAGCTTATACGTCCATTATACATAAAACGCGCGCGTGAAAACGTATTCTGCACTTGCGCACACTCATATGCGCAGTCGTAAAAGGTCTTACGCGCACGCGTAAACGCCTGTGCGCATGTGTCAACGCGGCGCATGCGCAGGAAGTTTTTAGTTTTGAGGTCCGTATTATAGATCATTCCGAATTATGGGTGTCCGAATTAACGACTTTTGACTGTAATAATAAATAAAAATCACCAGATAGTTAATTAAGATTTAGCTAAAATAATCATTAGTAAGATATGGCTACTTATATAATTTCATTATAAGATTACTAGAACGCCCGGCGGTCGTACGAAATGACCGCTGTTCTAGATATTATAAATTGTAATTAAAATCATTTGGGCAAAGGTATCTGCTACTTTAAACTGAATTACCCAGGGCAGGCGTCGAGGACTACTTGCTTAAAGTAGAGTGCAATGAAGGAAACCACTGGCCGTACATTTCTCAAGAGTCACCGCTAGCTCAATCAATAAAGGTGATTTAAATAATGAAATGTTAATTCACATGTCAAAGACCTCTTTGTACACAACATTTCTTGTGTAAATCTTTCCATAATTTTTAAACTCGCCTTGCAGAAGACCATCCATTATTTTTAATTTTACGTCCGTTCTCTCACGAACTCTTGAACAGGCAACATAAAGTTGACCGTGTCCAAATGCAGGCTCAGGTAAAAGAATGCCAATACGCTTAAGCGTTTGGCCCTGAGAATTATGGATGGACATAGCAAAGGCAAGTTTTATAGGAAATTGTCTACGTCTCAATTGAAACGGCAAACCTGTGCCGTGGCAACTTCACCCCATTGGCTAGTACAGTTATGCAAGCAACCAATAAACTATCGGCGACAAACAGACACTTAAGCCGCATATATGTATATATATATATATGGGGTGAAGTAACATCATCTCCTCCGAAACGGCTGGCGATGTACACCGTTGGATTCCGCAGGTCCGTGGCACGCCATTTTGACACTTCGCGTCTTCTTGGGACTTTAATTATCCGAGATATTAATTAGAAACTAATTTTCCCCTGCATATTCCACTTTCTTTCTTGGGTTTTCCCTATTACAGGAATTTGGCTACGTGCCAAATTCTTTTTTCTCGAATAGCTATGGAACGGCGCCGAGTTGAAATTCGAGACACGTATAATGGGATTTCAAAAAATTCTCCGAATCCATCGATACCGTTCTCATCTTCGTACGACTTTAATCGGACGAGACGTTAATTAAAAACTGCGGAGATTTTAATTTCCGCGCTCATTTATCCGAGTGGAAACAATAAACTATCGGCGACACACACTTTAGCCGCTTATATATATAAAGATTTTGTATCAATATCAGCCAGAAAAATAAATACGAGTAAACTAAATAAAAATCATATAATAAATTAAGGTTTAGCTAAAATAATCACTCGTTAGATATGGTTACTTTGTAGAGTCATTAGGTTACTCTGAAGCATGAAATATGCAAAATGTGCAATGCCCTATCCGGGACACGAACCCTGGACCTCTCGAATATGCGCCGAGCGCGCTAACCGTTTCACCACGAAGGCATGCCGAAAGGAAGGAGAACTTACCTTACATAATTACATTATAAGATTATTTTGTATCAATATCAGCCAGAAAAATAAATAAAACTTTTAGCTAAAATAATCACTACTTACATATGGTTACTTATAAAAGTTAACAAGATTACTTTGAATGAATATTAGCCAGAAAAATAAATAAAAATCAGCATGTAATAAATTAAGGTTTAGCTAAAATAATCACTAGTTAGACACGGTTAATTATATAATTTCATTATAAGATTATTTTGCATCAGTATTAGCTAGAAATGAAGGGATGAAGGGATTTAATATTCGCTTCTAGAAATTATTACAGTCGAACCTCGCATATAACGAATTTTCGGACATAACGTACGAGCTTTCTGGTCTCGACCAATTTCATATAAACTTACGTTATTTTATGCGGCTATAACGAATTTCCAAAGATACGAAAGACGGGTATAACGAATTGTATGAATATTTTCCATTGACACTCTTGTGTTTTTCGTATTTTTTCGGAATTTCTGCAAGTTTTAAGGAAAAATGATGGATAAAAGCTTTTAAAATTCGCTTTTAAAATGTATTACAGCCAAAACCCTATAATTACGAATTTTCGGATATAACGAACCAGTGGAAATCGCGGGATGATCAGCCAGAGGGTTAACAACTCCTTTAGCGCCATTATTAAAATCTGAACCCTTTCACATTTTTTATCGCAAATGGACGTTATCTCAGAAGGGTTAATAATTTCGTTTTGGCATTTTGCGTTGGTTTACTATAAAAGTCTGAATCAAATTGTTGCCACCAAATATTAGAGCTTAGCATTATATTTATGGACATTAAATAATGAAGAATCTACATGAATGTATGTATGTTTTCCGCATTGTGAAAAAACAACGGAACCTAGAGACATCAAATTTTGAATAACGTAGACCTCCAATCGAATATGGGCACCTGGAAGCACACAATTTGAAATTTGGAATTTTTGTTATCTATTTCACACTTTGTGAAACTGAAACGAATTTTTGATGAACGAATTCAACGATTTCAAAGCGAGCAATGGCAACACAGTACAGGGAAAAAAAAAAAACTCCAGCGCGCGAAACTGTGTATCAGAAATTCTTAAGGTATGCTCTTTTTAAATATTTTAGGATACTGCTGTTGAATTGAATTTTATGGTCTAAGTGCGAAGAACATATAAGGTATTTCTCCCGCCTTCTTAGCATGCCTTCGTGGTGCAATGGTCAGCACACTCGACGCGTATTCGAGGGGTCCGTGTTTCGAGTCTCGGTGAGACCATTGCTCATTTTTCTCGTCTCCACCTTCCAAATAACCTAACGTCTCTACAGTGGGACCCGAAATAAAAAAAAGGTGGAGGATTTTGATTCTCCACCACCAGGATTTGGCGATTCGGTCCCTTAATCCCCAGTCACCCTTTAAAACCCTCTGAGCGGCAAGGGTTTTCGCTAAAAATGCATAAATTTCCCAAGATTTTTTTGATTTTAATGTAAAAACTCTCCTGGTATTTCATACCTGGATTTGTTTTCTTTTGACATATTTCCTTAATTTCTTTGACATATTTTAATATGCACGTGTATATACGTTCTATGCACGTGTATATACGTTCTTACAGATATCACAAAAAACATTCTAGGCCGTATATATACGGCTTTGCCGCTTAGAGGGTTAAAAGAGGAGTATATAAGGTGTTCCTCACGCCTTCTTAGTATGCCTTCGTGGTGTAATAATTTTAGCACACTCGATGCGTGCGTATTCGAGAGGTCCGTGGCTCAATTTTTTTATATTTCCTGCTTTTCAAAAAATATCTAACTTCTCTAAAAACATGAGATTTAATAAATAAAGGTGACACAGAAAACGTTAAAAAAACGCATCTTTTGACATAATTTCAGATTTTTTTAATTATTTTCTTGTGTAATAAAATATTGTTATAATTCTTGTATTTTATTTTAAATCACTCTGATTAAAAAATAATAATATTCTTAAGAATTGCATCTATTGCTTTAAAACAACTTAATTTGCTGGACGATAATATATAAAATCAGTTCGGAAGATAAATAACTTACATTTGTCAAATGGCAACACATTTGAATAAAATGTGAAGCAAAGCTTCTAAAGTGAATAAACGCAAAATCGTGTTTCGAGACTAGACCCTTAGGGTTAAAAAAAAGTAAAAATTCAAAATTAAGAATATTTTCTTTTCAGAGTTTATGGCTTCCCGAAGAAGTTATATATCCCTGAATACTGAAAGGAATTAAATTAACAGTAAACAACCGTAGATACAAGGTCATTTTTCGATGGAATACAAAACCACGATTTTAATTTCAATCGAATTTATCTCTAGGGCCAGGGTTTTTTCATATTCGAGTAAACAAGCTGGTCTTTATGGCCTTGACGTTAGAATCTTCACTCGCTGCTAAAATGCAATTCTAGAATTTTGTTAATATCACCAGAAACGTCCCTGAACTCTTTCG